GCTCGCCAGGCAGGCGCTTTGCCGCTGAGCTAAATCCCCAGCCCCTTGATGCACTTATATGACTATTGTAAGCAGCGACCTCAGATTCTAGTGACTGTTGTATAAATCACAATTGGTAATTGAGTTGGAATACTTATGTTAACTATAATGTAATTAAATTATTTTTCTAGATAAAACGTGAAGTAGGGAAAAATTTTGAACTTTAAAGGAAAGGAACATAGTAAAATTGTCTGGAGATGCAGAAGCTAGTACTGCAACCAGAGTAGTAAAAACCGAGAGACTGGAAGAATATGGGTTCTGCATTTCATAACATGGGACAACTGTAGTTGGCTGTTATAGAGCTCAACAAAATAACTTTTTTTAAAAAAAGGGATAATAAAATGAATAACACTGAGAACCGGTAAAGCAAACACACATTGAATTTAAGAAAGAGTTTCCTCTGAATAGCTAAAAAAAGAGTTGAAGACACTAGTTACTTGAAATCAGAATTAAATATTCAATAAAAGTTTCCTACATTAATTTTTGACCAGATCTGAGCTTGTAACTTGGGTCAGATATGAAATGGCTTGAATTGTTCTGCAAAAGAGAAAAACAGTTTGAATCAGTTTTGTTTGTTTGTTTGTTTGTTTTTTTTTTGGTACTGGGAATTGAACTCACGACCTTGCCAGGCAGGCGCTATGCCACTGAGCTAAATCCCCATCCCTGAGAAAAACAGTTTGAGATGGAGAGATGGTAAAAGAAATTATTTCAACTATAGAAATTTTCTCAGAAAATTGTGAGGCAAAAACTAAAAGACATTTTATAAAAGTAGAAAATTTCAATTAAGCCACCAAATAATTGCCTGAAGAACATAAGACAAACAAAGCCAAAGAACAATTAATTCAAAATGTGGAAAATTGATAGTGCTATCTTTCCCTGTGTCTGTCTGTCTGTCTGTCTGCTTTCAGCATTAGGTAAGTTATGTGTATAACAGATATTGCCCACTTTGGGTACATTCTGATCTCAATATACTTTCAAATTTTCTTAGAAATAGTGTCTATTCATGATCTCAAAAATAAAACTCAACATCTGTTTAGTTGTGAATATTTTACAAACATCAAGGAGTTTCAGTTAGGTTTGAAAAGCTTAGTTCCTATAAAGGCAGATGATGGGCTAGCTGTGTCAGGACAGAAACCCGGGTTCATCAGAGTTTTAAATGAAGGGATTTAAATTAAGGGCTGATGTTTCCCTTACCGCCTCTTTCTATTGTATGATGCATATGAAAAATATCTGTGCTAAGTTTCCTCATGAAAAGGATCATGGATACAGCTGCTAACATCACTCAGCCCGTGGTGCTGGAAGTCATGGGTTTACAGAGCTGTTGGAGGACATGGGAGGGATGAATGATGGTGCGTTCCTTCTCAACGCCGGTTGCTGGAGCTGGAGAAGCGTTTTGGAAAGATTTGCTTGAGTCCAAGATTTTCTTGAAATGAAAGCAAGGGTTGCCACATTCAATGATTAAAGACAAACAAGTGGCAACGTGCTTTACATTTCCTCAGTTATTCTCATATTGCATAGGGTTGTTCTCAAGTTCTGTGGAAGGTAAAAAAACTTCGTTGGAATTGAAATTTCTCATAAGGGAGATTAAAAATGTTTTTATCAATAAAAATATAAATTAATGCTTTAGTTTTAATCAACAGTGTTAGGTTAATTGGTTGGGAAAACAAGGAGAAGTAAACATCGCTTTGATTGATGAATTTAAAATTGTGTCTCATTTTATGCAGCACTTCTTTGAATTCAAAGTTAATATGAGTGAGTCGATACCAGAATTAGTAAATTTACATAACTTGGACAAACATGGTTTTAAAATTGATATGAGCTTGCTTTGTATCTAATCAATTACTTTTTTTTCTTTTAAAGAAAAGAAAAAAAAACCCAAAGTATAAAATTTCAAAGCAAGATCATAGGAGAGTAACTATGGTTAGTACATTGTCTATTGTTATCTTCAAAGTAGTTGCTCACATTACAAGATATAGGCATGAAAAATTGATCAAACAATACAGGCAAAAACCTTTCCATTCAATGAACTAATGACAATTAGTAGTATAACTGTCTTAACTATCTTGTGTGTGTGTGTGTGTGT